TTTTTTAAACATGTTTTAATTGATATACGATTATGTATGTTAATTTGATAAAGATTTAAAATGAAACATTTAAAAGTAAATGGCGTAAAATAAATAAATTAATTAATTATAGGGGTATAAAATGTAAATTTAAAATTATAATTTTAAAAAAAATCGGTTGTGAGGGGGTGAGTGTATGTGAGGAGAGGAGAGGGTGAAAAAGTAAAAAGATGAAAAAGTGAGTATAAAGGGTATTTTGGTCATTTAGAATTTTAAGACTTTAAGACTTTTGCTAAATTTGTTTAATAAGATAGTATAGATAAATAAATAACTATAAAAGTATAAATCGTAAATATTAAAAATATTTTTTCACAGTATATATAATATTATATAATATAATTAAGTCAAAAACTATTCAACTCATTTCGAAGGCATTAACGAGACGATTATAATGATGTAACTTGTTGAAATAAAAATGTATTTTTTTAAACATGTTTTAATTGATATACGATTATATATGTTAATTTGATAAAGGTTTAAAATGAAACATTTAAAAGTAAAGGACGTAAAGTAAATTAATTAATTAATTATGGGGGTATAAAGTGTAAATTTAAAATTATAATTTAAAAAAAAATCGGTAGTGAGATGATGAGTGTATGTAAGGGGGTGAGTGTATGTGAGGAGAGGAGGGGGTGAAAAAGTGAAAAAGTCACCTAAAGTATAAAGGCTATTTTGTTCTTTTAGTATTTTAAGATTTTAAGACTTTTGTTAAATTTGCTTAATAAGATAGTATAAATATACTAGAACCGTACTCGCGCAATGCAGCGAGATAAATCATGATTTTAATATTTCATTTCACTATTTATCTCAGTCGATGTTATAATATGGTTTTATGTTATTTTGAGAAAACGATGATGTTCTTTTTTTAATAAAATATATGTTTGAAAATATCATAAAAATTTGACAAAAATATATCGATATTAGTATCAAATTAACTATTTGAAACTCCTCATTTTTTGTGTAATTTTTTAATTCAATTTTTTTATAATTTAATTTATGTACAATAACGAAGTAATTTATATTTGGTTTAATAATATAATTTTTTTATAAAGATAATAATTATTTATTTTGTTGGAACTCGATAATTATTCTAATTATATTTTAGATTTCTTATATTTTTAAATGAGATGTTCATCCGATATTTTATTATGTTTATCCAAAGTTATTTATACGAATTCAAACTTCGAGCTTTAATAAGTTGTACTTATGCATAATTACTTGTAATCTTGAATTTTAAGTAATATGCATCAATATACATTATTTTATGCATAACAAAAATATATCGATATTCGTATCAAATTAACTATTTAAAATTC